ATCCCAACCTGAACAACATAGCTTTCAACAATTTTTTACCTAGAAATAATATAGAGGGCAATGCAACGTTTGCCGGGCCAGCTAGTACTAAATAAATTATATACAAACTACATTTATATATATATATATAACATGCTTCAAATTAAAATTAAAATTAAAATGAGAAATTCATTTTGTATTTATATCGCAAAATTTTAATAATTGTATATTCATTTTAATTTTAATTTGAAGCATGTTACATGATATATGGATGAGATTATTCTTTAAATAAAAATTGCAAGTTTACCTGCAAGAAGAATACCGTTTTTAAATTTCAAATATTTATATATTAATTATTTCCATCCAAAGTTTGGAGAATTATTTGGAAGGCACAGGACTTTGAAGTATCTGTATAATTTTATTCTTAATCGTAAACTTTATGCTCAGCATATTTTTTATTAGGACGATGCGTTGAGATTATCATAGACTTAAAAATAATGCTGAGCACTGAAGTCAAATGGAACATTAAACATGGTGTCATATAGACACATGTAAAACTCTCGAAATTTCGAGACCTCAGATGCATTCGAATTAGATTTTTGGAACAGTTACATACGTGACCGTATTCAGCTAATACGCAAAACACGCATTCAAATTATAGATATAACATATGTACATATAAAATTTCATCGAGCACGGATTTCTGAGTTCGTATGAAATATAAACGCTATTCTAATAAAAAATATATGTTATTTCAAATATGTATATGACATATCTATTAAATAGAGAAAATAAAAGCTACAGAGTAAACAACTAAAAACAAAACAAAGAAAATGATGTGATAGCAAAATAAACCCTTTAGAAAAAGCTAGAAAAAAAAGCCTTATAGTCGACCAGTATCAACTTCATGTTACTCGTTAGTTGATATAATAATCAGTATTTGCCATATATTCTATATGTATATATGTACATATTTATAGGGTCTATTTTTAGAAGAAGTACGGAAGTAGTGCAAAGTCCGGCTGCCCAAATTGTAGAAGAGTGCAAGATTTGCTTGTCGCTAACTTACGGAACTTTCCAGGAGATTACGATTGGTCGATATGAAAATATGATTTCATGGAGGCGTTATAGGCATAAAAAGATGAAATTAATTAATTATATATAATTAATTAATAGTTCATATATTTGTATAGAACATATATCTATAATATATAAATATACATATCCCGAAAAACAAATTTACACAAATAGTTTGAGTAGTGGAAATCCCATAATCTATATATTTTTTCTAAATCTAACCCGATGCATTAAATACCTTACGAAATAGAAGTGCTTGTCATAAGTTACATAAATACAATAATCCCTATTGATTTTTAGAGTAATCTAGGAGCTCCACAGTCGAGTAATACTGGTGTCTGAGCACATGCTGCGCGACTCGCTCAGACAGGAGGCATAGGCCATGGCGTGCGGTATGTAGTGCTGCTCGAACACCCCAGTGAAGAGGTGGGAGTACGGGCCACTGGCGAAGACGGCGACGTCGTCCCCGCCGTGCGTCTCGGACTCCAGCGGCACGGCGGTGGGGAACATGAAGTCTTTGTTCTTCATGTTGAGGGAGCGCAGATTCTTGCGCTTGACAGCACCGTCATCGTCCTTCAGGAAGTTGCTGTTGTAGCCGGGGCCATTGGCGTAGCTCAGCGTGGCATAAGGCAAGTCGTCCGCGGCCAACTGGCCATCGTTGATGCCGAATATGTCGTTCTTGCGACTGGAGTAGCCCGCCAGCGACATGGTGTGCGAGTGGTCCGAGGTGACCACAATCAGCGTATCATCCACGCTGCTGTGCGTGCGTGCCCAATGCACCGCCTTGTCGAACTCCGCCGTCTCGTCAATGGCGCGCAGTGCCAATGTGTTGTGGTGGCCGTGGTCGATGCGTCCGCCTTCCACGAAGAGGAAATAGCCTCGACCTGCGCTCTGTCGCTCCAGGATGGCCAGCGCTGCTTGCACCATCTCCTCCAATGTTGGCTGATCCGCAGCATCGGCGTCCAGATGATACGGCATGTGGTAGGGAGCGAAGAGGCCGAGCACTCGCGAAGTCTGGTTGTTCAGCTCCAGCAGCTGGCGACGCGTGTGCACGTAGTGGGCACTGTTGGTGTGTTGCCGCTGCCATTCTTCGATCAGATTGCGTCCATCCTTGCGCTTACCGAAGACGCCGCTCGGATCTTTCACGTGCTCAGGTAGAAAGTTTTGCCTGCCGCCGCCTAAGATCACGTTCAGATTTCTTCCCACGTCACCGTTGATCAGCTGTGACGCAATGTCCGTGCAAATTGTGGGATCAGCATTATCCGCCTTGACGTCAGCATCGTTCTCCCAGTCGCGATTGGCGGCATGGGCGTAGACACCTGCGGGCGAGGCATGACTCACGGATGTCGTTGTGATGAGGCCAGTGGCCATGCCCTGTCGCTGTGCCCAGGCCGCGATGGATGCGACACGATTCTCCGGCTGCACTTGGGCCTGACAATCCTTCAACCGGACAGCAGCCGTAACGCCCACGGTGCCATAGTTGGCCTTGACGCCGCCCAGGTAGGCGGTTGCCGTGCACGCCGAGTCGGCCACCTGCATGTTGGCGCAGTAGGTCTTGCTGAGGCCCACATATGGGAACTGCTCGAAGGCGAACTGCTTCTCCTCGCCGCCCAGATAGACCCGACCGGCGGTGATGGTTGGTATGGACATGCCGTCGCCCAAGAACAGCATCACGTTCTTGGCTAGCTGTGTGTTCGGCCTCATTTTGCTCTCCAGCTGCTGCTCCAGCGTCTGGTGGGCGATGCTGCGCCAGTAGTCGGCGTACTGCTCCACCCTTTGGGATGCGAACGTCATCTCGGGCATATACCCGCGCTTGAAGCGCGATGCCCGCAGAGGGGCTGATGCTCCCCCATACACCGGATGCATGTGCCGCTCAGCATCACGTGTCGGCAGCGCTGGATGTGGGGGATGGACTGTCAGTTTCCGTGTGTTCGAACTTAGCAAACTTTGGACTTACCGTAGCCGCCAGCTAGAGCGATGAGCCCACCCAGTGCGAATAATTGCAAGATCATCCTGAACAGTCTTTTGCTTATGAGTTGTGGTTTGCCTGTACCTTGCCGGGCACGTTTCGAACAGAACTGATAGCGAGTCTCACGAGACCGGCTTTATTTATAGTCGAGCACGGTTCCATAACAGGTCATCGTCGCCTGATAAACGAAAATCAATGTATGGCAATCGAAGCCGCTGACGCTGACGCTGTCTGCCCAGTCTTCAATCCTATTTCATTACACACGTGTGTGTGTGTGTGTGTGTGTGAGTTGTTATTGTCGTTGTCTTGTTATGTGTTTTCAGAAACTTTTCTTGGGTTTTCGGCTGGCTGTGCGTTATCATCATTCGTTGCCGTTGTCTGCCTACCCGCACCCGCGGCTCACGCATTTGAGTTTTTGTTTTGCCTGCGGATCCGAAAACGCGATCACCGTTCACGTGATCGTTATGCCTCTTCTTGCTCAATGTGAAATTGTGTACAGATCCGTGTTATGAGCTCTGTTCTGTCGAAGTCATTAGCTGTCTATACACTGTCATAAAAACAGCACCAGATTTTCAATAAATTGTTGCGCACACATACACACATTCAGACAAGTACAGCTTTGTTTATTCTATATGTGGGTGTAAAATTTTTCTATATAGTCGAAACACAATTATTTGAATAACAACTGAGCTGCAGGCAAATATCTGTATATATATGTTTTAATGATAATCATAACTGAAATTATAATTGTAGTATATCGTGTGAATAATATAATAGCATAGTTAATAGCATAGTTAAGATGGATTGGTGAAAGCATTTACTTTAATAAACATTTCTGAAATATTTTGATATTATCTATACTCTAGAACCCATTAGATTTATACAGAAGATCAAGTTAACTCACATAATATTTGCTTTTATAGCTGTATAACTCAAATAGCATATTTGTATAATAATAAAATATTAAAAATTGAATTTTATATTTTTTATTTCGTAAATGAGTATTTCATTATCAACTTTCCGACAGATATTTCACACCAAAATTTTCCTTACATAAATGTAAGATTCATTCCTCGAAGCTCTGCGAATGTTTGTATGTATATAATGCACGCTGTTATAATAAATCTTCAGCGATAACATGTTTATAATTGATACAACCGTCTCTAATTAATTATTGTTGAGAGTGAATAATACAAAACAAAATATGTATTTATTTTAAAAAAGTCATACTGATCCATGGTGCATCGTAGCGTCTTTTAAAAAGGCCGCCCAACCAAAGTCGAGCATTTTTTATGTTGGCAGCGCTGTATTAAGGCCGCCAGCCACAAATTTGAATAAATTGCATGTTCGCGCTGAACTCCATTTCAAGGAGAATATCGATAATTGGAATCTTGGCAGTGCTGTTCGTGGCGCCAAATTCAAAACAGCATTGTGAAAAATTACGTTTGTGGAACAATCAATAAATCAATTTATAATCATAATGTAATTAAAATTTATTCTGTTAAGTACATTTTAATATTGGCAACACATAATATCTATACAAAAATAATGTTTTATTAAAAACGAATGTCGATAACGTTTTTTGAGCTGGCAGTGCTGTCGAAACATTTTAAAATTGCATTGCGCAGACGCCAGCATCAAAACAAAAGCTTAATTCGTTTGACAATCGTTGATGTGCTTTCTTTCTCTCTCTGTTTTGACTACTCTCTCTCTCTTTCATTTGCTCTCTCTCTCTCTCTCTGCAATATACACTCTCTTGTACAGCAGCCGTTATCTTCTGCTGCTGCTGCGTCAAGAAACATCTTCGTTAGAGAGCTTCTGGCCTGACTACGCGAATTTGGCCAAAATAGTTGTTGGTTCGCATGCAAAACGTCAAAATCGCTAAGCTAAAACATTTTTATACCAACGGCGCGTTTTTAATTTTTTCTACACTACCAAAAATACATAGAGAAAAGCAAAAGAACTAAAGCAAAATAACCAAAAAGAACTGACAAAACTTTTTAGCCCCAACATTTGTTGTTTTCCTAATCATTTAAAACATACGTATGCTTGCATATATATACAAATACATAATGTATATATGTATCTACATCTACTTAACTAAAGAAAAAACGCGTGTATATAACAAACGATAATTCAATAATTTTAAAATAACCAAAAAGGTAAATAGTGAAAAATGTGCGTGAAATATACTTGAATTAAATTTGAAATAAAAACGAGATCAAAACGAAAAACAAGGCACAAAAACAACATTTTAATTATAATTTTGTCATCTCAAGTTGTTTATATCTATTGTTATGGGTCAAGAAATTTATTGTTTGAAAATCTGGTGACAATTCGCTAGTTTTTATTCTCTGCTGATTATGTGTGTGTATAACTGTATAAAGTGAAAAGTATGTACGTAGGTACATACCTACCTACATATGTTCAGTTTATATGTACACAAAAAAGAAAAAAAAGAAAGAAAGAAAAACAGGCAATGTCGTGTAATGGCTGAATGTAACAAAAGGCACACATTTTGAACTGTGAGAAAAATGAACATATATTCTAAATGTTAGAGTGCATTCAGCTAAAGGTGCTTCGTGTATGTAAGTTGGGATTACATCTACATGTACATACATATTTCAACAGGAGGCTCGAGCTTCCATGCCAAAGACTTGGATGCCCAGCTGACTATGAAAGCGACATAATGGCTCAACATAATTCTGCGTTTGAATTCTCTCCAATACAAGTACATTTGTGGGAGAGTGCGGGAGTGACTGTGTGTGTGTGAGTGCGTGTATGTGGGTGTGTGTGTGTGATAGGAAGAAACTTTTTACTTCTCCTATGAAACATTCAAAATTAAGAGATTTGGAATTCAATTATTAAATTGTCTTCAGCCGAATTTCAGTAAAATTTTCCATTACTACTCATTGTGATATAATCAACTATGATATTGTGTCTATAGCTGTAACTAATATATGCTGCCAATCAAACATGATATATAAAGAGATGTTATGTACATATATGTGTATATAGTTATGTATCAAATAACGCGCAAACAAATAGAAATGCCCTTCATCAAGCAGAGAAACAAATCGAGAAGTAACACACGAGTCGCAAAAACATGAGAAACAATTAAATGACAAAAAAAGTTGCCTTAAACTTTTTCAAGGCACACACACACACACGCACACTGAAGTAACAACAACAATGCACATAACTTGTCGTCTTTGGCGTCATTGAAGGGAGTTGGCAGCAAAAGTTTCTGCCTTATTCCATGGGGAGAAGCATAGAAACATAGTAGCCCACATACACATACACGCACAGACACATATACATACGCACACACGAACATACCTACCCATACACGCACAGTGAGAGAAACAGGCAGACGTACCAGCACTTTGGTACAGCAGATACATTTCAGCAGCATTAATAAACCAAATGACATGCATACACACATCCATGCACTTATTTATATTGATCAAATTGATAAATATTAATGTATGTATATGTGTATATAAACAAAACTCGTATACGCTGAGCAGAGCGGGTGCACATTGCCACAATGTTATAACCAAACTTTAAATGAACTTAAAGCTATCCTAGTTTCTATTGAAACAAGCTTATTGAAGAGCCTAAGTGAATTCCGGTACATTTTTTAATAATTAATGACTAAATAGTTTGACAAGCTTTTGAAACAGCATAAACGGATATATTTTTCATTTTAATTAAGTGATTTGCAAACATAAATTTAATGTCTATGTTGTTATTTTTTTAAATATATAAAACATGTATGAATGTATATTTGAACAAGTTTTTCTAAAAATATTATTAATATTTTATGTTTGTATATTTATAATTTGTTCCAAATTTAATACTTTTATACAGCTTAAGACTTTTTAATTTATACTTTTAATTTAATTTTTATTTCAGTATGTAATAACATCTTTTCAATACATTTTTTGTTCATTATGTGACTTTTAGATGTTTTTTAATTAATTAATTTCTTTGTTCAATTTTTAAATAGTTTAAACTGTAATACCCTTTTTTTTTTTTTTTTTATTTGTTAATATTTATTCAATACAAGTTTTGTAAATAATAATATAAATTTATAGTAGCTTAATCGAAAAGACTTTTGTCGAGCAAAATAATATTCGTAAATTGGATATGTCTGCCCCACTGTGCCGCAGCATCAGCATTCGGATATAGATATAGAGCCAAAAAGGATAAACGTTGCCGAAGCTCAAACGCACGAACAAAGGCAACACGAACTTTCAACATTTAACGAATGCGGCCTCCAAACCGAGCGCCACAGCTACAGCTACAGCTATAGCTAAAGCTACGACTACAGCTTCAGCGAGAGTTAACTTTGCCGTTATGCTGTGAGCATTGGGTGCTTCGTTTAAATGAGTGCTCGTTGAATGTGTGAGTAATTGGAGGGGTTGGAATGGATAGAGAGCAAACAACAACAAGCAAGGCATTGATGTTGCCAGCAGACTCTGGGTCTTTGGGTTTTATGGGGCAGCCAAGGAGTGAAGTGGCGCCAGTTGAAGATTTATCAGTGTGTATGTATGTATATACGTATGTGTGTGTGTGTAAAATTATGAAAACATTTGAGTTTGAGTAAATATGACCAGTTTTAGGGGTGGGGGTTGTTTTGCTATATTACGTACATGCGTGCTACAATGTGTGTACACACACACATATAAATATATACATGTGTATATCTACGATGTGCGCCTGTTTGCATGCTGCATATTTATGCATCTGTATATACAGCTTGCGATTGCAGTTGATATTGTGGCCAGAGCCCGAGCCCGAGCTGCTGCGACTGTATTTAGTTAATGGCCTTCTAGCATTACTGGGCGACTGGCTGACTGGCTGACTGGGGAGAAGGAGGTCGAGGATGGGCAGGAGGCTGTTGCCACTGCATTTGGGGGACAGGGCCACACTGTTAACGCCGCTGACCTTCACCCATTTTCCGGTGCTTGAACAGTGACAAGCTAACCAAAAGTCAAACGCCATTCAGTTTTAATTTAAACGTCGCTTCGCAGTTCGTTTGTGACGTTGTGGTGCAGCCTGCGCAACGTTGTCCATCAAATAGACCCAATTGCAATTATCGCAGTTGTCCACATACGTAATCAAATCATATTTACCTTTTGTGCGCAGGATCTCGATATTTATGCATTGGCCCGGACAATGTCCATGTCCATGACGACCAGCCAATATCGCCGCAGCTGACCAAATGCAACCCTGCAGTTTCCACCTAACAGGTTGCTGTGGACGCTCTGGGAAGTACAGTTACGCAATTGGATTATTGCGGTTTAAGGCAACTGCATGCTTTAATGAACTGTTGATTGAACGTCCCTCGAACTGGGTCAACTCAATTCGTATGAAGCGAAGTTTAAATTAAATTCTGCTTATGCTGAGTGAATATGAATCAATTTCATGTGTGATAATCACTTTTGATATTCGGATCGTTGAGGATAAAGCGCAATTTGCGTATAACTTGAATTTTTCGAATACTCTTTTAGGTATCAAACCTATAAGCGAAGTGAATATATGTTTTAAGTATGGATGAATGGGTTTAATTGTCTATAGTTTTCCACCATATAAATACTATACAGAAATGTTATTTTGGATAGCCATATGATTATATAATACTGGTATTAAAAACTCATCTGACTGAGCACTTAATTTAATAGCTAATTTTACTAATCATTTCATATCGTGGGGCATTGCTCTGTTCCAGAGATATGAAATGACAGATTAAAAATATTTAATTTATATTAAGAAAATAAATTTTAAACTTTCTAATACAAACTATTTGTCATTAGATATTTTCATTAGAGTTGATCGATCTAAAGTAATCTAAGGTTTTATGTCGGTTAAATTTTGCTTTGATATATTTATATATAACCTAATACCAGATAAAAATGATAAAATAAATTACATTTTCTACGTTGTGAATACTTTGAGATAATATTCATGTTCAGATACAAAATACAAGTTTTTGATATTTTAATAAATCCTCCAAGAAATTCAAACTTTTCCATTTCTCTTGTTAATACTTATAGAAAGAAAAAGATATAAGTACGATGCAAAATACAGTTACATGCAAGTTATCGCCATCATAATATCCCAATATAAGCACCATCGATCGCATTTTTCTGTTCTTTTTATTGCTTTTAAAAACTCAACAAAATTGGCGCTATTAAATTCGCGTTTTGCTGTATTCTTATTCGATTTTAATCCTATTCACATTTCGTTCGTGGGCCTAAGAGCCAATTAAAATGTTGGTAAACAAGGCGCTGCTTGAACACATGGCATACGCCTCGCCCAATCAGTATCTAAATTACTGACAAAACGAATTAAATTACGCCACGCCTTCTTTTTGCGTCTCCTACACACACGCACACAGACAAACAAACAAACAACAATAACGAATTCGTATTTAGCGAACATCTGTTACATGGAAATCAGATGAGAGGGCTAATTTTCACTTTGGGCTTTCTTTTCTTCTGTTTGATTTTTTTTCTCTAGAGCATTTGCAAGTTATTGAACCTGTAAAAGTTTTTAATTAAAATTCAAATGAGACAAATTAAATTCGCTTCTCGCTGAGCAAACGAATCGAAGCATTGAAAGGAACAAAAAGCGTTTAATATGGCAAAAGGCAGAAGCGGGCAGAGACTCGCATAAAGTGCGTATGGAACGTGCGTTAAATTTTAATTGATTTTTCCCAACAAATGTAGGAGCATCACACACTCACACATACACACGCACAGATACATAGATGTGCATATATATACAAAATATATATAATTTATATACATACATTACATATACATGTGCTTATATGTATGTGTGTACCTGTTTACGCGGAAAGCAGACCATGCCAAATGTGGTAATATGGAGTACGCAGCAGCATCACCAACCGATACACTCACACACATACATACACACACGAACTCACTCACACATACATACATGCACGAAGTGCGTTAAAACGAAATGGCAGACAGTCAGGCGTGCGAACAACCGAACGAATACACACATACACACACACACTCACACACACACACACACACAGAGGCACTCCGACACAGCGCAAATTTAACGACCGAGCCAACGAACGAGAGTCGGCATTCCCGCTCGGCCAGCTTTCATACATACGAATGTATGTATATATATGTACATATGTATGTGCGTGCGTACATGAATGAGCAGGTTCGTGGGGTGAGGCGGCACTTGGGCAGAGAAGCTGCCTGCGGGTCGTAGGGATGGGCGGGGGTTGGGATGGGATAACTGCTGCTGGTGAAAGGACGATTCAAGGAGCCAGTGAAAAACATTTTATGTCCTCGTTGTTGTTGCTGTTGTTGGTAGGCTGTTTATTGCTAGATGTTGTTGTTGATGTTGTTTGTGTATTTGTAGCTGCTGCTGCTGCTGCTACTTCTGCTGCTTGTTGTGTATTTGTATCTGTATCTGCATCTGTATCTGTGTCTGCGTCTGTGTCTGCGTCTGTATCTGTATCTGTGCTCTGTTTTATGTAGCAACCATTTATCGATTTATTTTGACTTCTACAACGAGCAAGCGTAATATTTAATATAAGAACAACGATAACAAGAACATCTGCGCTTGGTGGGATGGTAGGAGGGTGCGACAGAGAGAGAGAAAGAGAGAGAGAGAGAGAGAGAAAGAGACGGGGCAGAGTGAAAGAGGATGGGAAGCCGAGCATTTTAGGAGGCTTTTGGGTTCAGAGACCACAACTTTTGCGCTTAATGCGCCAATTTTAACAACGACCTGAAGTCAAATTGAGTAAAACGCATTGAAAACTTAAGCAATTTCCTCAGTTTTTTCGTTTTTCCGTTTTTCTTTCTTTTTGTGTGGAAAAAGCTTTTGCCACTCAAAAACAAAATAACGCTTGAAGCAAGCATTTTCCCTTCAACTTCTTGGTCAGTTTGTTGTTGCAGCTGTCCCGCAGCTGTTAGCCAAGCGCAAAAGGTATTCTATATTATAATAATAACAAAATGCACTGGACTTGAAAGCTGCTTAATGAAGCAGAGCAATTATATAAACGCGAAGCCGAGACTAAAGCGAGGACAAGACAATAAAAGTGCCAAGTGCTCTGAGAGCGATAAAGCCCCAACAAATAATCCAATTAAATATCTGTGACGAATGCAACTATAAAGAATCTGTTTGTGTCCCCGAATAAATTTGCATCTCTTCAATTTGTTTTCACAGGTAGCTGTTAAATATGTAATTCAAAATGCGTGTCAAGCCGTCCTCTTTACAAAGAAATGATCACAAAGTATATGAAATATATATGATAAACAAGTAAACAAATAAATCCATTACATTTTCAACGACAATTGTTCAGTAACAATGACTTTAGCCTTTGTAATATAATATAATATAAATAATAAAAAGCACATCTAATGCGAGTACAATAATAAAACAAGGCGTAGCTTCTATCTTGCTAAACGAGTGAGAGACGACAAAATGGCTGACGCCTTGTCTCTGGCCCACCTTTTCGCGCGCGTGTGAAATAAAACAAAAACAACAAAAAAGTAGAAAATAAAATAAAATTTAAAAAATCAAATAAAAAACCAAACCAACAAAAGCAAAGCAAAAATTAAAAAATTAAAATTAAAATAAACAAAAAATAAAAAACTAAGCATCAGTGAAAAGTATTAACAAGAATTATATTAACATCAACGCCGACAACAACAAGAACAACAACGAGAGCAACGTCAACAACAACAATAACAAGAAAATCATCATAATCAAGAAGCAGCAGCAGCACGAGCCGTGGAAAATCAACTCAATGCCAAAGTGAATGCCGGATATAGAAAGACTCATATAGATTGTTGTGCATACAGCCAACACATATACACGTGTACACACACACACAGATACACATATATACATGTACATACATACACACACATATACATAGGGCAAATAAGAGCAATAGATGTGGTTGTCATTCACACTGCTGATGTCGTCAAAGTTGCCATTGCCGTCGTCGCCGTTGCCGTCGCAGTCGTCGTCGTCGTCGCAGTCGCAGTCGCTGCCATTGCCAGCGATAATCAACATTTAGGAAATTCATCATACGCACTGTGGGACACGACCCAGGCAAATGCAGTGCCCGATTGAAAGGTGAGCCTGGCACTCTGAATGCAAGCCCCACACAATTCTTTTTTTCAGTTTCTTCCAATTCGATTATATTTTGAGAGACACGTTTTTCTGTTACTTTTTCTACTAATCAAATGGTATGCTACGACTAACTATATTAAAACATCGAGTTATGACTCGGCCTACTGCGCTTAACACTATGCTACGATGTCTCGTTCTTTTGGCATTCCTCTAATCTGATGTGTATAGAAGTACATACATATGTATTTCTATATATTTATATTCTTGTCTGGTATTAACAAATATTTGTATGATGTGCTGACAATGACCAACACACATATACACACACACACACAGACGCAGAGACACTCACTATCATGTCCCCGTTCACCCCACACATTGAGCGACTTATGTCAATCTCAAATACCACGCAAAACGTGGCTGAGCATGTGAATGCGCAGACACAGCAAGTGTCGAGTTTTAGTGCCTGATTGTGACACTTCAATTTATATTTAGAAATTTGCGTATAGATGAGTTAACTATTTTCTGACTTATTGAAAAGAAAGATTGGTATTCAATTATGGCATAAATAAACTCAATCCACTTTCTCTTTATATA